TAGCTCTGTGTCAATCATTGTCAAATCTAATCAAATTAAGATCTTTGAATGGCTGCAGCAGCTATTCTAAGGTGTCATTTCCTCTGATAAAGTAAAAATAGCACATGCTTATGATATACAGTCCAGTTTAGAGTTTTTCTCAATTGTCTTAATGTGTTTATTGTCCTACTTTTATGAAAACCTTACTGACTGCAAAAACGTGAGCCTAATGTTAAGTGTTCAGATTCTAAAAAAGGAGTGTATGTGCAGAAACAACAGCAGTTTGTACAGATGCAACGGGAAATGCTAAGGTTGGTGGGGAAGCGTGTCATTAATTTGAGAAGAGCGGTGAGAATGGTGTTCCTGATGTGAGAAATGTGTCAAAGTGATTTGAAACTGTAGTCACATAAATAATGCATTAAGGCACTTTTTTTCTATTTCAAATGCAGCTCCTGCATCTTTTTTTTAATCATTCAGTACCTCAGAAGCTGTTGAACATTACTCTTGTGAAATCTATATCTGAATAGCTTCAGTTTGTACATATCAGGAAAGGAGGAGGGTGTACAAAGTTTCCTGCTACAGGATTTCAAGACCGATACCATCTTCTTATTCTCTTTGTTTTCATCTAAATCATTTACACTTCCTCCAAGCAACTAGAAGCCGTCTTGTGACAGGATCAAAACAGTGGTGATGCAAATTAATTTGCGCTCAAGCTTCATTTTCTTTTGTTGTGCACTATACATCTGTGAAATATAATGACTGCATTTTGCACAGCTGTATGGTATTACATTCAGAAGATTTGCACACAGACAGCAGACGTGGGTACACACCTGTGCAGTATCACTTGGTTTTAAAATTGTGTCATTTTCTTGTAACTGGATTACATCTATGCTGAACAGAATTTGCTCTTAAAGTAACTCATTTTAGATCCTGTTTAGATCAACTATAATAAAAGCAGAATCAGTGCACCTACTGCAGTTTAGATCTTTTTATACTTTAATACTTTGTGTCCATCTTTATTTTTCACGACAGACTCAGTCCTCCTCCTCATGGAGTATACTTTTTCGTTTTCTTATTAGGTGGATGGTTTGTATTGCTCTATCCTTTCTCTTTAAACTGGTTCAAATGTGTTCGGTTGGATTCAAGTCAGGCAGCATACTTGGCCTGACCTGAAAAGGGCAGGTCATAGTGTTTTTTCCCTCTACTTTAGAAACTCTATTGTGATGTGGGCAGTGTGCCTTGGATCATTATTATGCTGGAATATCCCTCTTCTGTCATCTTCTGGAGATTAGGAGTCATTGTGTCAGACAGTATTTTGGTACATTCACAGACATTCATAGTGCAAACTATAAAGGTCATCTCCCCAGCACCTTTTGCACCAATATATCCACACCTCATCAAACATGTTTGATCCCATTTGAACTGAACATATTTATATTGTTCTCAACTGGCCAAAGAACGTGCTCCCAATATTAATCGGTTTGTTTTGGGTTTTTTTTTTTTTTCCATGTCCTTTTTTTTCTCCTCTAAGTTTAATATTACAGTTTTGTACTGAAGAACAAGCAAGTTCTTTTTCTTGGACGCCATCCACTGAGCTTAATGTTATGCATTGTCCTTCACAGCTGTCACAAAAGCTCTGATTTCCATTTATAACCCCTGTGCCAAGTCTTAAGCACTTACCCAACTGTTTCTCAGAGCTGGATTGTGCAAGCAGTGCACTGTTGGTGGCATCATTTTAGGAGGACAGCCATTGCAGCTCTGATGAGCGGCACTATGGCTCATTTTGTACCTCCTGATTACTGCTGCAGCAGCTGTGCTTCCACTGATTTTTAGGTGGAAATCAATCTTTCTTTATGTTTTTTCCATCTTAGTGGAGCTTCGTGTTGAGATTATTCAGTTCCCCTGACAGTTCTTTTCTATGTGGAACCATGAGGCAGACATGCAGATCAGACAAAACCCACAGGTCCAAAATTGAGAAAGTCCAGCAAAGAGTGTTACTTTTCATAAGAATCACTACTCTAAATGTCAGCTCAGGAGAATGCAAGTGCCATAAGGTGATATAATTTACATCGTTTATCATTTAAACACTGTATCGAAGGATTATACTCACCTTTGTTAAATACTGTGTAAACATCTGGCACAGAACTCAAAAGTAAATTTGTGATAGTTCTGCAAGTGTTCGTGTTTCCAGGGCCATTTTTGCCGCTTTGGGACATCTGGGTAATACTAGAAACAAAATTGGAGGCTTTTAAGCGAGTGAAACAAATTACCTCTATGAAACTGTGGATTATCTAACGATAACAGCTGTCAGGTCGGTAACGTCAGCTGGCCTTATGAATGCTGACAAAAATGTAAACATCCAAAAGTTTTATATTTAACAAGACAGAACAATCTTTTCAGGACATTACAGCTCTCCTTTAGCAGCTTAATGTAAGTGATCAATGCAGATCTACTCATTTGTGAAGTGTGTCTTGCCTCAGCTGAATTAGTTTCGCTAGCAGTGGTGTAAATGAAGTGTGAAGAGGTGCAGCTGGAGACTATTTTTGGCACTGTGTGTAGGAAAATAAAGATCTCAGAGCTGCCAAATAATAGATACTGTGTAAGAAGACTCAGATTTGGGTCAAAATTAAAAAATGTTACAACATCTCAATTTGTAGCAAATCTAAAGCCCTAATGTGACTTCATGAAGTTTTTAAGAATGAATTGTTGTTGTATTTTGTTTTAACCCTAACATCTCTTCAACTACAGAAAGATCCTCATCATGCGTTGAAAGAGCTGGCTCGCATGTGCATCATGGCTGACTGCACTCTCATCTTGGCTTGGAGGTAAGCAGCTTGCTACAAGACATATATAAAATAAATAATCAGTGTGATTCTGGCTCCAACATCTAAAAACTATAGCTCAAAGACAAAGTCAAACACTTCTTGTCTTTTTAAACGTGTTTTGTTGTTTTCTGTCATTTTCATTTTGAACTGCCAGTCCAGAAGAGGCAGGCCGCTACCTGGAAACGTATAAGTCGTATGAAAAGAAGCCAGCTGACATGCTGAAGGAGCAAGTCGAAAAAGACTACCTGTCAAAGGTGTGTGTAGAGTCACCGTTTTCTATGTGAGCTCTTGGTGCTTTTTTTGTCTTTTCGCCTACTTGTGCCCATTTAATAACAGAAATAGACGTTATAGAAATGTCGTGGAAGATTTAGTAACATGGGAATGTACAGTATTTGCCAAAATCTTGCAGTAGCTTTAACACCATGAACACTGAAATTGCTGATTGGATCTCTGCTTACTTCAAGGTTACAGATTGCCTGACAACTGTGAAGTCTATCAACAAAACGGATGCCATTACTTTGCTGTCTGCGTTCTCTGTGAGTGCCTCATTTTTCACAATTTTCACTTCAAGTATTAATTAATCATGTTTATTAAATTTCTTTAAAGACTCACTATATATACCACAAGAGTCTGCAAAGTCTAAAGGGAGATGTGCAACTTGATTGGTTCATGAACAACTGAGAGTGTGTAATTGTAGTTCAGTCATGTTGTCAGTGGATATGATCCAATCGATAAACAGACATGATGTATTCTTCAGTCTGTAGAAGGAATCGTCAGTGCCTCTAAGGAAGATTTGGTTGTCTGCCCAGGCCTTGGACCACAAAAAGTGAGGAAAACACATGTGCTGAGTATAAATATACACAGCGTAGATGAAGTGTTTGATGACTTAACATGTTGACATTTTGTGTTTACAGGCAAGACGACTCTTTGACGTCCTCCATAAGCCCTTTCTCAAGGCAAAGACAAAAGACAGCTGAGACCAAGAATGTGATATGCTTCTGAAAACAGTTCTACATTTTTGATCATCATGTTGAACATCACACTAAAACACTCAGGAGGACTGAATACTACAAAGTCTATCAATTTACAGAGTTAAGGGAGAAACATGTTTATCCCATACAAACTCAACTAGACCTCAAACTTCATGCCATGCTTCATGCTCTTCTTTTGTGGATTCTTGACATGAACTGGTTAGTTTGAAGTGGCCTGTGTTTAAAATGTACCTTCTTCCTCGCTGGAATCAGTGGATGTGTTTTAGGAATTTAAGTTGTGAACTGTTTGAGCTTCAAACGTATGTATTTTGTTTGTTTGTTTTTATTTCTGTGTGTGTTCGTGTGTGTTATTAATTTGTATAATTTTTTAATAAATATTTTTGTTATATTTTGGTTTTTACATTATTTTATTTTTAACAGACATTTGCAGACACACAAGACGACAATGATTTTGCTTGAATCTCTGCAGAAAGTGCACTAGAAAAAAACTAGTGCTTTAAAAAAAAACTTATTCAAAAAAGGAATAAATAAAGAAAAAAAATGAAAGTCTGATATAGAGGTATGGATAAACTGTGACTTGTCCAGGATGCTTCTTGCCCTTTTTATAGCTTTTATGATCTAAGTTTTTGAGAAAGTGGATGGAAGGATATCTAAAATTCTTTGAGATGTCTAGCAGTATATTAAATCTGTTTTATCTTCTTGCAATTTTTTAATGTATTTGCATGAATGGTTCAAGGTTATTTTTAATCAAGAACCTAACGCAACAGGAAAAGCGTGCAGATCAAAAATACATTTTTTTTTATACCCTCAAGTCATTTTCTTTTAAGTCAAACATTTTTTCAAGGTAAATTATGAAATTGTGAAATTCTGTTCTTTGGTCTTTCAGGAAACTTTCAGTGAAGGGTCGCTTTAGACAAGCTTCAAGTCGGCCAGTTACTTAACATGATATGAACATAGAGGCCATTTGGAAATAGAAGTGAATATGACACCAGAAGAAAGACGAAAATGCAACTGTGAAACAAACCGAATATGAAGACCAACGTATCTCATAATGAAGCTTAATAATATTTGGTGCACAATGCAGTAAACGTTTTCTGATAGGGTTAAATGTCGTGTTATTTCGTTTGAGATGAGCTTACAGTTTCGAAACTTCCGACAGCACGTGAAGGCTTGATAACGCAACCTTACGTCGAAACAGGAAGTGTCTGCGGTGCGCGCTGTAGCTGAAAGTAGGAGTTTCGCCGCTCGATTCACTCTAAACACACAGTAGGGGTTTTTTTGTAGTTTTTTAGTTGCTCTGCACGTGAAATGGTTTGGCTTGTTTGTTAGAGAAAAACAACCAGCGAAAGTGTGAAAAGCAAATATGCAGACGGAGAACGAGGATGAGGATGAGGCGTCCTGTGAGGAGTACGTTGCCCGGTCAGATTTCACTGGAAGTAGCACCGATCAGGTCAGAGAGACCCGCAGACCTCCGAGATCCTAGCCTTAAAATGGGAGGTGGGGATATCAGCAATAACCGTGTGACTTTTTTTGTTTTGTTTCACAGCTTAGTTTCAGCAGAGGGGACATACTGCTCGTGCACGCCAAGCCCTCCTCAGAGTGGTGGTGGGCAGAGCTGCAGGGGGTCATAGGTTATGTCCCTGCCAGCTACATGAGCCAGGATGCTGCAGGGGAGGAGGACCCCTCAATAGAAGATCCGTGGCAAGATGAAGAATACTTTGGCAATTATGGAACGCTGGTTGGAAATTTTAAAGAAGTGTATTGCTTTGCATATGTCCAGATTATTATCATGAACTTGAAGATAATGATGATTTGAATCATAATATGCGAGTATAAACTGTTTCCCAGCGCGTTAAGCAGCCATGCGTCTTACATTGTAACTATAGGTAATCACCAGCATGCAACGACTAAGACTTTAAGTAAGCATCGTCTTTTGACGACACTACCCTGCAATGTTGCTGTGCTGGTTTAAGATGATGGTCCTCAGTGGTGCATGATTCAGAGTTTCCAGTGATATATTTACTCCTGAGATGCTGGGAAACCATGCTCAGAATAGATAAAAGATTGCTGTTTAGACCCTGATTTCCAAATATACACATGTAAGCCTTTTCTTGAATGCATTACCCCTGATAAACAAGGGGGGAAGCATGTAACTAGACCCTGCTGCGTTTTGGGAATTTATTTGGATCCCATTTGGAGTAGTTTATTTATCAGTGGATTAATTATCAAAAACTCTTGTTTAATTCAAGCAAATTTTATATGTCTGATTTTATTTCATATTGCCATTTAGAAATTAACGTTTTATTTCATGAAGCCACTTTTCATTATAAAGAGTTAGGTTTAACAGGGGCACAGTTATGCGACTGATCACTGCTTTGATCAGTATTTTATTATAGTTTTTAAAAAAAGTCTACCTTTTGAGCATTAAATAAACTGCCAGTGGCTACCTGTCAGTTTGCTGTACATACATTTTTTAGGCACTGTGTTTCATTTAGTCATGTTTCACGACACAGAGGCTTCACCTGGAGATGCTGTCAGACAAGAGCCGCACTGAGGCATACCGGCAGGTTATTCTCAACAACAGTGCTTCTCTCAGCAGCAAGAGGGTAATGGACCTCGGCTGTGGGACTGGCATCATCAGTCTGTTCTGCGTTCAGTTGGCACGCCCCTCAATGGTAATGTTGAATCTTGGATTTTGTGTTATAAGGAGAAATTAAATCCGATTGAAATGAAATGAGACTGCATTCATTTTTAAATAATGAGGAAAAATTTGCATATATTGTGAGTTAAGTTTAAGTTTCCTGCCAAATAACAAAAACAAATTAGAATCTAAGGGTCCAAAAGTAAAATCTTTCACATAAATGTGGTTACTTAGAGGAGCAAAATCACCAGTTAGGTATTGAACATTGGTGTACTTCTACTTCCATCTGCTGGACAAAGAGTGTTGCTGCATTGAGGAAACAGCATGATGGATAGAGTGCACGGAAGGAGATTATCTGTGGTGTTGTAGGTGTATGCTGTGGAGGCGAGCTCAATGGCAGAGTACACCAGACAGCTGGTGAAGCAGAACGGCTATGATGAGGTGGTCACGGTGCTTCAGGGGCGGGCTGAGGAGATCGAGCTGCCTGAGCAGGTGGACGTCCTGGTTTCTGAGTGGATGGGTAACTGCCTTCTGGTAATTATAACACTTCCTGTCCTGCTACTTTAAAAAAAATACATTGTTGTGGGACATCCTTTTCTGCTCTTACCCATGTTCAGGTTTTACTATAGCACATTGCTTCTTTCTTTTTCTTTTTTTGCCTTTTCCCCACGCTCTAGTTTGAGTTCATGGTGGAGTCAGTTCTGCTGGCCAGGGACCGCTGGCTTAGAGATGGTGGCACGATGTGGCCCTCCTCTGCGGCCCTCACCTTTGTGCCATGTCAGGCCGACAGCTATTATGCAGAGAAAATGGCCTTCTGGGAGCGGCCATACGGCCTCGACTTCACTCCTCTTCAGTAAGAGCCATTAGTTAACAGTTGACAGTGAGGAATGTCCTGTCACTTACAGATATGTGTGTGTGTGTGTGTGTGTGTGTATGTATGTATGCATATATATATATTAGGGGTGCAACGATACACAAAATTCACGGTTCGGTTCGGTTCGGTTCGATACTTTGGTGTCACGGTTCGATATTTTTTCGATACAAAAAAATGTTCATGCCTTTTTAATTTGTCATTTATTAAAATTATAAATATATATTTTAACTCAAACGTACAGTTTTTAAATTTAATGTTGCTGAAACAACAAAGTAATAAAAAAAATAAATCTATCTGATCAAGAAATCACTCATCTTTGGAAAAGAGAGTTTATTACAGAGAAATGGCTCTTTCCAAAATAAAAGCTATACTATACGCTTCTTCTGGGCTATATTCTCAGCAACATATTAAACATATCAGGTCCCCATAAGGAGAATCATGTGCTAACGGCTGTCTAAATGACTCAAGTAAAGTTTGTAGCATGCGTGCTTGTTGTTTTTGTCTGCTTCCACTTGTCTTTGCACTAGGATGATGTCGGAGTAAATGTGCAGTCATATTCGTTGTGTTCCCACTAGTGCTGTCAGCGTTAATCTCGTTGAAACGATGTTAACGCCACAACACGGCAAATTTCGTTTAAGAGCTACCGCGGATCGCCCCGTGCGTGGGGCTGGACGGCCAACACGTTAACGAGCAAACTGCGCTAACGCACCAGTTCCCACCAGTGTAATTGAGTATTGCGTGGCACATCCGACATACTGTTTTACTTTTGTCCATGAGGCGCTTACCTTCATGTGCTTGTGTTAAAATCTGTTTTACCACTAGATGGCCAGCTTTAAATGAATCATCCTCTCTGATTCATATCTGACAGACAGCCTTGTGCCAGTTCATGCGTTGCCTTAAACACTTATACTGCAAAGCAAGTTCAACACATCCAGGCTTTCTTGATTTAGCTGGCTTGATAGAAACTAAAACCCCAGTCTGAGATAACAGGCTTCATTATGTTGTGCTATCAACAGCCAGTCTTTCTGCTTCAGGCTCTGTGCACGTTCACACAAAAAGTGTTTCACACATCATTCTTCTTCCACACAAAATCAGCTGTGGACAACATGGTGCAATCAAGGACAATATTAACAATATAAGAGCATCTAACCTCAATATGTAAAGATTATAAAACGATGAGCAAAATGCAACACTGGAGCTGCAAATAATGTGAGATTATTTCTTCAAAAACTACTCTGGTGATTTGATCATCACAAGCACACAGAGCAGTACAATAAATATATTTCTGTATTACTGCTCAGTGAGCTGTCTGTGTTGCTGTTTCTACCATGTCAGCTGCACGTTAGAGCTCTAGAACTTTAAACTTCTCAGGAAATGAAGAGTCAGTTTCAGCTCTTGTTCTGTCCCGCTGCCCGATGAATTAAATGTAGGAATTGCTGTAGTTTGTCACCAGTACAAAGTGAAATTACTTTTATTGATTGAATATTGATGGGTTGGTGATAAATAGCCCCAAAATGCAAGTGATCACTCTTTTAATGTGTGTTCCCATTACTACAGTTCCACTAGTGTAAAAAAAACAAAACCCTGGCAGTATTAGGACCGAACTATGAAAGCTTGTGTCCATTACTGAAAAGTGATATGTCAGATTTTCAGGTTATTATCTTGTAAGTTGTAATTCTGAAATAATAACACAAAATTTGGCATCATCAGTTTTATGCATGTAAATTCCAGTTACAATGTAACGTAGCCAGATTTTTTACCACAAATTTCTGTAACAAGTAAACAAGGTTTACTTATATAGCGCTTTACAATACAGAAATACGGATAACTGGCTTATCTTTAATGTTGCAATTGAACTCTAATGTGAAACTTTTTCATCTGGGGACTTGTTTTTTGTTCATCAGTATTTAAATAATATTTTGTTTAGCTGACTAAATACAATGCACTTGGAGGTTAAGATGCTCCTGCATTTAACATTTTTATATATCAGAGTTCATCACATATTGGCTAGAAATATATAAGGTTAGAATAATTTCCGAGTACACTGATAATTCATTTTACCCTTGTGCTAAATACTTTTGTGTTTCTGGAGGCCTTTGGCACAGCAGGAGTTCTTCACCAAGCCCAAGTTCAGCCACATCATTGAACCATGTGACTGCCTCGCTGCTCCTTGTGATGTCATCTCCCTCGACATGTACACTTTACAAGTGGGAGACCTCGAGGTCATTTTTTAATTTTTCTTTTTTTATGGGATAGTTGTAAATGAGCCAACTTGGATTTTGTTACTAATGCTTGACTGTTTCGTTTCTCAGGAAATGAAGGGTCAGTTTCATTTTTGTGTGGAGAAGTCTGCAGTTTTCCATGGATTCACCGCCTGGTTCACTGTTTGCTTCGAGAGCCTGGAGGCAGGAGGCGCAACTGTGGAGCTAAACACCGGCCCCAACTCTGGGTGAAAACATGAAAAGCACAAAAAAAATTCTGATGCGTAATTAGTTAAATATGATTTCATACTAACTAGTCCCTTTTCCCTACAGGCCAACACACTGGAAGCAGACATTGTTCATGCTAGACAGGCCTGTAAGTGTATGCGCAGGAGACTCGATCAGTGGAACAATTGTCCTCCAGAGAAATCCTGTCTGGAGACGCCACATGACCGTTACCCTGCACTGGACCATTAAAGGGGGCACAGACAATCCAGACAACTCCCAGGCAAACATTTTCATTTACTATATGCACTTTATCTGAGATATGTATTGATTATAAGGAATTGGAAGGTTTCTTTATTACTTTTTATATGAGTGTTCTTTGGAAAGGTTTTTTGTTTGTCTTTTGCATTGTTGTTGCACAATCTCCTAACTTAACCCTGCCCATAAAGTTGTTCACGAGCTGTTTCCCCCTCCCCTCTGTCCTTAGGCTGGAACAAAGAGTTTCCCCATGTGGAGGTGACACATATTCGCTCATCACCGGTGGAGATCTAAAATAGAAAAAACAGTCTAATAAAATTAAACTGTTCGGCTGTGAGACTGCTGCTGAAGCGGACTGGTGTGTTGCAATGAATGTGCCAGAGAAAGGCCTGCTATCATAGTGTTGAGCCTGATTGCTGCAATCACACTATCCTAAGAGCACGTTTACTGCTCCTTTTTATTGAAGGACAAAAGTACTTTACATAAAGCAGCGCTGTGTCGCACAGCTGGAACATCAGTTATTTTTTTTGTTTACTGAGGTGCAAAAAAAAAGACAAGGTTGAGTCACACTAGGTTACTTTTCATCAAATGGCATATTGTTTTACAATAAGCATTTAACTTACATTTTTTATTGGTTGTACATACATGCCACTAGGCTTTTATGCATTTAGAAGAACAGATTAACGAAAACCATAAATTACAATGGTTTAAGATATGACCTTTTTTTCATTTTAACATTGTAAGATCAGAACAATGTACGCCTCTGAAATGTTACAAACATTAGCCTAAAAGATACCTCAATAAAAAATATTATAGTGCTTAAAGATAACTGCTCACAATGGAAATCACCATCTTAAAATAACAATTAGTGAACTCACATTGATATAAATTAAATAAAAATTGGAACTGTTTCAACTATCAATCTGGTGTTTGTCCCTTTCTTACCATCATCTGTAAACATTTAACCTTTTAAAACACCAACATTACACTACTGCCACCATCTGTCTCAGCTGACGCTCTCCTTCTGGCTATGGCTCTGTTTTAATCTTTGCTTTTGCTCTGGAGCGTGTGTTGACCTCCTGGGATAGCTGCTGAGCAGGTAAGGACTCAGGAGAAGAAGGCCTGGAGAGCGGAACAAACAGGGGAGGTTTGACAACTTTGTCTTCCGCCCCCTTATTTTTATCCTTTTTCTGTCTCAGGTGTTTGTCACAGTGGTTCACAAATGTTTCCAGTTTGACAAACGTCTTGTTGCACACTTTGCAGTGATAAGGTCGCTGTCCTTTGTTGAGGCGAATGTGCAGCCTGATATAAGATGACCTGACAAAAGTGCGACAGCAGACGCCGCATTTCAGATCTTCGCTGTTGGTTTGTGTTTTCTGAGGCTGGCTGAGCGGTGGTGGAGACAGTGACTTGGCCTGTCCGGAAGCCTCTTGAGCCTTGTGAGACAGCAGCAGTGACAAAGAGCGAAAGCCCTCGCCACACTGCTCGCACTTGTATGGTCTCTCCCCGGTGTGCAGACGAACGTGGGCCAGGAGCCCAGCCTTCTGGGTGAAGGACTTGTCACAGTAAGTGCATTTAAAAGGTTTTTCGCCTGTGTGGAGTCGACGGTGGGTCTTCAGGTGTGAAGCTCGCCCAAAAGTCTTACCGCAATCTGGGCATTTAAACGGCCTGTCTCCGCTGTGGATTATCTTGTGTGCCATTAGGTGGGAGGACTGATGGAAGAACTTGCCACAGGTGTTACATTTGAACTTCCTTTCCTTATTGTGAGAAGCAAGGTGAAGGGTCAGGTGAGCGGAGGAGATGAAGGTTTTGGAGCACAGGCTGCAGCTGTGAGGGTCCAGGCGGATGCGCCGGTGTGGCCGGCGTCCATTCTGGGGGCTGCTGCCTGCCTGGCAGGATGGGCATTTGGAAGAACTGTCTGTTTTATTCTGCTGTTTAGGATCGGCTGGAGTGTCATCGGAATCAGGCTCAGAGTCAGGATGTGAAAGATTGAAACTGCACCCACAGTCTGAGCAGCGCCCAGACTGCTGCTCCACTTGATCACCGGTGTTATCCAGCATGGTGCCATCTACGCCCACAGCAGCAGGGGAGGGGTTTTCACTGTCCTACAGATGATGGGAGCATCTGAGAGACAAACATGACATAATTATTGTTAATTTTTGTGGGGGGAAACGCACTGTTTAATCGATGCCCCCCCTGCTTACTGACCAAACAGTTTTATCGCCGTTTCAGGTGAAATATTAGCCGCATATCCTTCATCGGTTTTTGGGCATATTGTATAGGTTATGATCGCATTAGCGCTCCTTGTTGGCCAAATAGGCGACAACAAGACCTGTGCGCATATAACAAGTATGTGCACTAGCTTACTTAGCAGCCTACCAACTATTGTAGGCCGTGGTTGGTTTTAAACAATGCGGAAGATATTTGAGGACGCAAGCAGCACACAAACAACAATTTTCACATACCGTTCTCATCCTTCCTAAGCAATGTGCTTGAATGTAAGTACTTTTCGCGCGAACGCTGTAAAAACACCATATTAACCAGAGTTAGATAACGGCGGAACACTGTCGTCTACATTTTATCGTTTTCCTTTGAGATGATGCTGCAGCCCGTTTTCTGATAAAAACGGGCTGCAGCATCATCTAGCGAGCGGCGGGACAACTGTCCTCACTAGAAAGCACTGAATGAATTTCACGAGATGCTCTGAAAGTTTCGTTTCACTCAGAACATTTGAAGAATGGGGCTGTTTTTGTTTCTTTTGGTTTCGTTTCTAACAGAATAAGGGCGAAAATGGGACAAAACCTGAGCAGAAGTCCACGTTCCACGCTGTGATTGGTCATCAGCAGCCTTTATATAAAGCAGACTGATGTATGATCGTTACTTTAACTGAACCAGATGGGACCACTTACTTTCATGAGCGAGGTACTATGATTTTATTTTTGTTAATATCATTGGTATTGCAGTTACCTACTTAGTATAATGTACTCCTTAAAGGATGTACAAATATGTACAAAGTGTGGCTCTTCATAGTTTAGTTTGCATAGCATTGCATTGTATCTAAAAACAGTGCAGCTTGTAGGTAGCTGATATTTGATTTTTTTTTTTTTAATTCAAGCTGATTAACAGGAAGTTGGCTGCTATTCAGCGATAGTGTATATTTCCTTCCTCTTTGGGGGTGATAGAGGCCACCCAAACACATGAGATATCAATAGAAAGCCCAGAATGTCCTCTATTTAGTACATCAGGACTTAGTGGGATAACTCAAATAAGTCAAAAGATATAGACCAAAAAACAAATGTCTATTACAGAGGACATAAACGAATAGGCTGGTTCTCAGGAGGATATGTTATATGACTTTGTTCTGCTCACAAAATACCCTGAATTTCTTACAGGAACCAACCCTGGAACAATGAGTCTGAAAGCAAAGAAGAAAGCTCGGTGAGTTGCTTTGATTTTACTTTAATGTTATGTATACAGTTCTTCCTACTGTATATAAAACAATAGGAAATACTTTTATGCACTTCCTACAGAACAGTATTTCTGTAGGAAGTACTGTATGCAAAAAATATGTGGCTCCATAGTACTGTAGGAAGTGCTGATACATATTAATATGATTTTTGGCGCTAATGTTATTTTCTCATTTTACTTGTAGGTCAAATTATTTATTGAATTGAATTACTGCTCAGTGTGTAATTATTTGAATCACTATATGAAATGTTTTTATTAGTCTTTGAGTGCACATCTTCAGTCATCTCCATGAATGAGTTCAAAAATTTGTAACCAGTTCCCTAAAATTACATACTGAATGCAAAGTTTGTATTCAACGTTTTATCATCCAAAATACATCAAGTACCTTATAATAATAATTTATTGTCCCATAAAGTATCTTCTGATTTCATCACAAGCTGTTATCTGATTGAAAGTTGAGAACTTTATGGCTAAGAATACAAGTAAAATACACAAGCTTGTTTAATATTAGCTCTTTCCTATAATCAGTGTATCAGGAGGACTCACTTTGGTTTAAATTAAATTCAAACTCGGTGCTTTTTAATTTCTCTGCTGATACTGTTGCTTTTTTATAGGACTTCTTTCGGGGCCACGGCACCGCCCTTCATTGACTACTTGAAAGATATTCTACGTCGATATCCAGATGGTGGACAAATTTTGAAGGTTGGTGTAATGTTTTGCCAAAAGCCCATTTCATCAGTTACTTCTTAAAGTACTTCATGGGTAGGGATGGGTATCGAAAACCGGTTCTTGTTGAGAACCGGTTCCCACTGTTTCCGTTTCTTGGAATTGTTTGCCATTTTTGCAAACGATTCCCTTATCGATTCCAGTCGCCCCGAATGACGTCACCACGTTGCGGAGCGTCATTTACCTGGCAGGAAACGTGGCGCGTAAGCGGCTCAAACGCTCAAAACTTTGGTTATACTTTACGAGAACGGATGACAACAGGGCAACTTGCAATACTTGCAAAGTAGATATTTCATTTAAGG